CCCATATGGGGGACTATCCTGTCCTGGGGGGGTGGGACAGAAAGTGAGGGACTAATCACTGTTTGGATTATATGCGAAAATGACCATTTTGACCCTCTACTATTTAATTATGTATTATATTTAATAAAATTTAATAAAATTTAAATGTCTCAATTTAAAAATAAAATAATTTTATTTAACTTTTTATTAATGTTTTATTTATTTAATTTTTTATAGATATTTTATTGATGTTTTATTTTAAAATTTTGTTTATGTTTTATTTAATTTCATTGTTTAAATTTAATAGATGTTTTAATAGATGTTTTATTTAAACAATTAAATGTTTAATTTCAACAATAAATAATTTCATTTACTTAAATTATGTTTTATTTAAACATTTAAACATTTGTACATCAACATCTTTATTAAATTATTTCAATATCTGTACATCAACATGTATATTTATTTAACATCTATTAAATTATGTTTTAATACGTCAACATTTGATTACATCTACATCTGTTAATTGTTAATTACATCAACATTTGTTAATTGTTTAAACATAATCTATACATCAACATTTATTTAATTGTTAATTGTTAATTGTTTAAACATAATCTGTACATCAAAATAATTTCAATGTTAATTGTTTAAATAAAAATTTAAACATTTAACCATTAGTATGTTTAATTTCAACAATAAATTTTTATTTGTTTAAATAAAAATAATCTATACCAGTCAATTTTTTTTATCAATATTAGTATGTTTAAATATCTTTAAACAAAATTTAACCATTAGTATGTTTAATGTTTACTAAAAATAATTAAAATATTAAAGATATGTTTAATATTGCTATTACATAGTAAACAATTGAAAAAGGGTAAAATAGTCTTTTGTTCATTTATCCTATCCAGTCCGTCCAACCAAATGTTGGATTCACTGAAAATAGTCCTATCCAGACATCTAATCCCATGAAAAAACAAACACAGGATACATATCCAATCCGAGCAAATAGTCCGGGGGATTCACAGTCCCAGGACTCAAGTCCGATGGATTCTAATTCCCCCTTTTCCAGTCCGTCCAATCAAACACACCCTTATTGGTATATATTTATCTCTAGAGATCAAAATTTTATGTAAACAAAAGAAATTTATAAATTTTTCTACTAGTTAATGTCATGCAACAATAAAATTTTAAATATTAAAATATGATCTGCTTTAATAAAATAATAGATGACTCACTTCAACAAAATGACATGTGTCATATTAGTTAGGATGAAAATTAAAGATTAAAAATAATTTGTATAACATTTTCCTTCTAAAATTATTATACGACATATTCTTAACAGGGAGCAGTTGCCTCCAGTCCGAGATCGGACTAGACAGTGCTGTTTGGCCTATGGGGGCCCACCACAGGTCCCGTTTTGATAATCTGAACCGTTTAATGTGTAGAACTCGTTGAGTACTATATGTCTGTAGAAAATCATGTTGATCGGATATCAATAGCTACTCATCATATCAGTTTTTTGTCAACCGTTAATTTGTTCACCGTCCATTTTTTTTTATATACAAAATTGATTTGATCACATAGCTATCGATATCCGATCAACATGATTTTTTACAAGCATATAGTACTCAACGATTTTAACATATTCAACGGTTCAAATTATCAAAATGGGACCCGTGGTGGGCCCTCACGGGCCGAATAATACCGTCCAATCTGATCTCTGACCGGAGGCAAATTGCTCCCTTCTTAACAATACCGTAGCATTGTTTTGCATGAACTAAGGGTTGGTTTGAGGTACACTATCTAATCCATCTTTTTATCTTTTTATCTTTTTTCCATCACATCACTTCTCTACTTTTCTGCACATCTTTTAGTAAAAAGATAAAAAGTACAATTTTTTAGGACACCCCAAACCAACCCTTGGACAAAATCAGGTTAAATTAAATACGTGGATGCAACACCAAACTATTAATCTATGTATTACTATCGTCTTCCACAGTTTGTCCTATTATTTGTCTTCTTGATGTTTAACTAATCCAGACTATTGTCATGATTTCATTTATGGGGCTGCTGTTGTAATTAATTTAATTATCTTTATGGGTTGTTGATCACCAAAATAACTCACATATCGGGTTATGATTTTTTATATTCAAAATTTTTTCGCTATGCACCTGAACATTATTCAATACTATCTTATATCGATTGATATATGAATTTATCATTGATACGAACACGTATCAAGATTTTAGATTTTTTATACCAAACACGTATCGATATTGTCCTATATATGACCTTATTACTGATATAAATCTCAATAGTATTATTTTAAACCATACATTAGACATTAAACAAATAGACATTTTGAATACAAAAGGATTTTGTGTTTACATTTTGTTTAAAGTTACCTTTTTAGATAGAAAGACCGTTGTTTCTGATGGGTGAAATGGTGCCAAATCTTCATAGAAAATGGCACATCTCAACAACTCATGAGAAAAGGGCTTTAGATTCTTAAATTAAGTAGCTAGTGGACTCTAACACCTTAGATTGTGGGACCATATATTGTTGGAACAATAAAGAAGGCATCAAATATAATAAAGTGATGATTACATATTCAAAGAGGCAAGTCCTAATATATCACTGTCCATGCCCTAAACAAACTGTCTTGTGCAACCTTGAATTCATACAGTGGTCCTAACCCTCTTTCAAGAATTTATGATATTTTATGTACTCCAAAAGGTGATCTTGGAAAATAGTCCAAGAAGAAAGAAGCAAAAAATGTACTGATATTTGTTGCTACCTTGTGGTTCATTCATACATGACGCGCATTGGGAATTGGGTATTACGATTGTGCATTTTTTTACAATTATTAGTTAAAGAAAGAGAATTTTGTAGCAATTTTGTAGCGGGAACTAAGTATTCCAACTAGTACACAGATGTATCAGTATTGGAAGGGGGAAAAAAATCCAATACGTGTCGACTATTACTATATGTATTACTTGATATTTAAAACATTTGCTAGAATAAATCCAGTCCACATTTCATATTTTTAGAGTAATTTTAAGAATATTTTTCTTAGGTACATAGTGTTGCTGATCCAATCAAACTATAATGGAGGATGGACACGAGATTCTTTATTATCAAAATTCATGACTTGCTCTCAATGCATTATTACGCTGTGTTTGCTTTAGGGATTTGGGGAGAGATTTGAAATGAGAAAGAGAAAAGGTGTGTGAAACTATGTGAAATATAGGTATATTTTTTTTTCACATTTCACATACCTTTTCAATTTTCCTTTCCAAATCCTTCCTCAAATCCATTAACCAAACACAGCATTAGACTCTCGGCTATATATCATTGTGCTTCGAGATTTCAGTATTTCATAACTGCGAATGTATAGGAAATAGAGAACCAGATACAATCAATTTCAATATTGTTAAATTATTTATTTTTTGCTTAGATATTAAGAGAAGGGAGAGGCAAGGTTGTCTGAAATCCAGGCTAGGGATGGCAATGGATAACCTATCCTGTGGGTATTCATGGAGAACCAACCCAAATACATGGATTTTTCCCTTTTTTTCTTATCCATGGGTAGGGTATGTGATATTCTTTAAATATCCACAGGGGACGGGTTGGGGATGGGTACCCACTAATTTCCCCATATGTTGTTTTTTTTTTTTTTTTAAATTCACAACCAAAACTAAATATACATTCAATCTTTTTTCTTTTATTTATTTATTTATTTTTTCAGGTTCACAATCAACTCTTTTTTTTTTAAGATCCACAATCAATATACATCAAATCTTTTTATTTTTTTATTTTTAAGGTTCACAACCATTTTTTTTTTTAATTTTTAAGATTCACAACCAAAGCTAAATATACATTCAATCTTTTTTCTTTTGTTTTTTTTAATTTTTTTTTAAGGTTCACAACCATTTTTTTTTTTTAAATTCACAACCAAAGCTAAATATACATTCAATCTTATTTTATTTTATTTGGTTCAACAACAAAATCAAATACACATTAATTAATTAATTAAAAAGTTTGTTTTATAATAATCAAATATATAATTTTGAGACAATCAAATAAGTTTTAGTAATTAAAAAAAATGTGGAAAAACATGGAAGATTAAAAAAAAAATTACAACCATCTCTCTCTCACTCTCACTCTCACTCTTACTGTCTTCTCTACATGTTATAAGAACCTGTTTACAATGTTATAAGAGCCTGTTTGAAGAAATAAAATGTGAAAGAACCTGTTTGAAGAAAGTGTTATAAGACCCATATTAAATTGCATCAGGGCATAAACAAGGAATTGTTTGTTGATCTCTTAGCCACGGACATTTTAGAAATTAAACCATCTTTCTCTTAGCAAATTTGAACCATTCATTTTAATTTATCCAAAATCTAATTATACCTTTTAACAAATCTAAAAAAAAAAAAGTTGTTAACATTAAATATATTAAAAAAGAAAGAAAAAAGATTGAATGTATATTTAGCTTTTGTTGTAAACATTAAAAAAAAAAAAAAAAGTTGTTAACATTAAATATATATATAAAAAAATGGGGATTAAAGTGGGTTGGGAAAAATCCATACCCATTAAGAAATGGAGAGGGTGATACCCATGGAAAATGGAGAATGGGGAATGGGAAAAATTTATTATAGAGAAATGGAGATAGGAAATTAATATCCACCCCATTAACCCTCATTGCCATCCCTACTCCAGGCTGGGGGTGAGAGAGTACAACCATGGGTCAGTCATGAGAGGTCACTTTGCTATAAGGAGTCTTTTTCACTCATTGCAATAATCAACCAATCTTTATTATCGCTTGCTAAAGGGACCAACCAACTCACTCCCTTCACTGCATTCACTGACCCAAGTGCCTCCTCTCAAAATTCCACTCTTTTTTTAAAAAAAAAAAGGTTCTGCATTTGTGATGAAAACAAATTGCAAAGCTACAAAGTCTTCATTGTCATTCACGTGCATGACACAGAAAAGCTCAGAGAGATAGAGAGAAATGAACTAATATATAATATGTGATACAAAATTGTATTGATGAATCTAAATACAACACGCAAGAACAAGGCCCCAAAGACCTTTGTATAGTTAGGCCAAATTTAGGCCATTAAAAAAAGAAAAAGAATTTCACACATGTAACCATTACACGTGCGAAGAGCACTCTCAAAAAAGAAGAAGAAAAAGAAAAAGAAAAAGAAAAAGGTCCATCACGGTTAGGACAAGAGGCAATTCCCGCCAAAAAAGCACACATACACACATGCCACTCGCAAGTGTATTTTATTCTTCTCCAAGTCTTGTTATGTACACAGAAATAGCACACAAAATCTATGTGTATCAATTTCTGTATTTTTAGTAGGGTTCTTCTTTTCTCTCTCATTCTTTCTCAAAGGTAGGACTTAAGAGTAGAGGCAATGATGGTGGTCTAGATGGGAAACTTGACTTATGTATCCCATGAGTACAGCTCAAACTTTAAACTTCAATGCCTTATCTTTGCCAAACCCATTGATTTTCTCTGCCCTTTTAACTTCCAATCTTCTCTGCTATGGGTCCCCTTTTCATTCAATAATCAATGCCTGCCTTTGAATTCCTCAATCAACCCCCACATTTCTTTCACACAGCTCCATGACTCCATTATTAAACAATCTTCTCTCTCTCTCTCTCTACCACACTTTCTCACAAATTATACATTATGTACCAAATCTCCCTCCATTGGGAATCTGCAAAGCAAAGCCAGTAATCAATGGCAATGCCCGCCAATTTTTTTTTTTTAACAAATCTCCAAAACTCCCTACATACAGATATTATTATATACTAATCTACAGCACTCAAAGTCATTTGTTTTTTTCCCCCTTTTTTTTTTTTTTCTTTTGATCAGCAAAAGAAATTTTTTATTGATGAACCAAAGCCCTCCACAAACTATTGAGGATTCTAGACAACTTGGGCCACTTCTATTATTTTCTTTCTTATTCTTTTCCCTCAATCAGAGCTTCCTTTGTCATCTTCTACCCACAAGCTATTATTTAATTTCCTCCTTTTGTAAGATGATGGTGTTGAGGATGAGGATGACGAGTCACTTGACCCAGTTGTGGCCTGAGTCATAACTTGGAGTTGTGGTAAGACTTTTGGAGGCTTCCTTCGCCTATTATCAACCGCGGCTTCTTGCATTAACTGGTAGCAACTGTTGATTTTCTCCTGCAAAAGTCGATATTTTCCTAGTTGGAATTGGGTCTTGCTAACAAGTTTCAGGTACAAAAGACAAAAAGGGAAAGAACACGAGACATTTTTCTAAACCCCTTTGAACTTTCACCTATTTTCAAGACAATTTTGCAAAAATTCAGATATTAAATAATGTCTTAAGACAATTTTAGTGTTGTCTACGTAATTATTTAAATAGTACTTTTGAAACTTCATCATAATTATATACTTACTTTACTAAGTCCTTCACACCATGATTCAGCATGTGCAGGATTAACAAGAGCAGAGTTTGGAATCTCATGGGCTGCACAAAGAATGGCTGCAGCAGCAATGCATGACGGCCAGTACTCCAGAAAACTAGCCTCTGTTCACATCAGCATCATTAAGTTTATCATTTTAGTGGGCTGTTATGAGCCAAGGATAGTCAGTTCCCAAAATTTTTGTCCCTCTAAAAACCCAATTCGAAGATGCGATGAGAATCTCAAAATATGATCTTACATCTATATGCATCGGGATAGGGAACAAAAATTTTGGAGACAAAAAATCCCTAAGAATGCCTTCTATCACATCAATAGCATTATATAGATATGTCTGTAATACCTTGGATATAGGACAGGATGATTTGTGTAGCCCTTGATTTCAGAAGCCCAGAAAAAGTTCCTGTTGAATCTAGCTTGCATGCAAAGTAGCTGACAAAACTGAATGGCGTAATGGATCGTAGCTTCCAATCCAGAACACCAAGTACAAGAAGCTCCATCTGCCGGATTGTCCTTGGTTCAAAAATATACTTTGCACCTTCCACCTATGTAAACATGATTCAAAATTTGATAAGTTCGCCTAATCACATAAGCATACATGTGGTATCAATTTCAACAATCCAATCATATTTAGGCCTTCTTTGGAAACAGATTGTTTTAGTAATTTTTTATATTTTTTGGTTAAAATATGAGATAAAAAAAATTAGTATGTTTAGAATGATTTGATTTTTTATAAAAAAAAAATGTGCAAAAAATAGAGAAAAAAAGAAATATTTGACTTTTTGATATAGGTTATAGGTTTTTTGATTTTTTTTAATAACTTTTTTGACTTTTACATTAAAAATATTGCATGTCAAACGAGGCCTTAGTATCAATTGATATATTTATGAATATCAGTATTGGAAGTCACACATTTACTGATATGATACTTATTGGCTGATATTTCAAACTCTGATATGTGATTGGTTCTAGATTTGTTGTGATAGAATTACCTGAAGATCCAAAAGCGAAGGAACCAGAAGTTCCTCCATCTTAGCGGCTAATGACAAGCAAGCAACAGATAAGAGTTGCAATGGCCACCCGTTTGTTTGCTGAAATGAAAGTAAAAGGAAACAAATATATATAATTTGAATATAAAAATCAATTCAACTGAAAATAATAAAAACACAAAGAATAAAAAGTACTAGTACGAGTAGTACTAACAGTAATTTTATATCAGTTCAGAAGTAGACAATCTTGTGATCACTCCATTATTGACTTTGTTGTCCATATTTCTTTTATTTAAAAAAAAAAATAATAATTATGACCACAAATGATAAGAAATTAAATTTTAGAAAGGACTAATGTCTTGTTTAAAAACATATTATTTTAATAATTTTTTAATTTTTTATTAAAAAATATTTAAAAAAATAAAAGAGTAATTTAACAATTTATAATAATCTTTTAACTTTTTTTATTAAAATATTTAGGCCAAGTTTGGGTAGTATGAAAAAATCTAAAAAGTTAAAAAGTTACTCAAAAAGTTAAAAAGTTAACACTATTCACCAAAAGTCAACAATTACGGCTGCACAATTCTCAATCCTAATTTTTCCCTACAAATACCAATTTTTACAATTTTTTATTACATATTTTTTCATAAAAAGTTAAAAAGTTAACCCAAATATCCATATTTTTTCCTTCAACTTTTTAGTCCAAAAAGATAAAAAGTGCACTTATTTAGGACACGCCAAACAACCCCTTAATCTCCAAACCAGAACTTAGACAACATTTAAAGCTTTTAGGGCATGTTTGATTGGAAGGATTAAAGTATGGGATTAGGATTATTAATCCGTGGGCCCAACCATCCTATGTTTGTTTTGACATTTGGTTTAGGACTATTAATCCAATGGATAATTAATCCAACAAATTTGTAGGATAATTAGTAATGGAGTAGGGGTGGGATAGTTAATACCACACTAATTTGATAGGATTATTAATACCTCACTATTAGTATTGTGAATCAAACATGGCCTTACTGTCTTGCAATACTATTTTCACTTCCGTAGCATGTTATTAACGTACATAGGTATTATGACCCGAAATTAGTACTTGTGAGAAGGGTCTGTTCGAATCAGTGATTAATTTATGCATAAATTGAAAAATTAAATGATGGTGTTATAAGTATCAATTAGTGTACCAACATATATTATGACATTATTATTGACCATATCTATTATACAAATTATAAATATTCAAAATCTCTAAAATTATGTCACATCATTTGTTAGTACACAAATTAATATACCAATTGATACATATATCATTATTCAATATTATGGGATATTTTGAAAAGATGGTTAAAAACTAACTTTTTAACTTTTTTTAATTTTTTAAATAAAATATGTAAAAATATAAAAAATAATATAACCCAAAATAAACTAAAAATTAAAAAATAACTTTTAACTATTTTATCAAAATAACCCTAAATGTTAATCATATGTTGGGTAGTGCAGTCAATCTCATGCCTCTTTAGAACGGAATATACACCAACAACAGTAGGCATTTACTGGGATAGATTATACTAACAAAGGGTTGGGTCTATTTTAGTTTTTCGACTTCTTAATTTTTTTAATTATTTTATTTAGAATTAAAAAAATTTATTTGGAATGAATTTTTTAATTTTTTTACTTTTATAAAAGAAAAAATAAAATAAAATAATTATAATTTAAATATAATATTTTATCTTATTAATTTTTTAATTTATTTTATTTTTTTATATTTATTTTAATTCAAGACCATTATGCTAAACGAGTGGCAGTACATTCAAAAGTCATTACTTAAATCCTTTTCATAATCATTTGAAAAGTCAACAATTTTTAATCAACAATACCTAATCTTACATGAAAAGACATGTGGAAAAAAGTGAAAAGGATTATTCTGTCACAATCACTCATTACAAATTCTTTGTCTAATTTTTTTTTATACAACATTACCCAGTTTTTTTTACCAAATTTGGCATATAATTTAATCTGACTCATTTATAATAATTAACTATTAGAAATTTAAAATAATATGTATTTTAAATACAATTATTATAAAAATATGTCATAAATGATATATAATTAATTTATATTTTGTTACTCATTAGCCATTCATTGGTTAATCAAACTTTTAAACATTGTCAATAATATCATGCCGAAGAACTTCAACTAAAGAACTAACAATTGTTAATTATTTTTTTGTTTTCTTAAAATATTTTTTGATGTTTATATTCTTAGTCCGTAACATTACCGAAACTTATAATATTCACGATTGTAAGAGTGCCAAATCAAATAGTAACTAATATGACACAAAAATATGATTATCTTAACTTTATTTTATTATTAATCCAAAGCTATTATGTATCACACTATATGCAATTTTTTAAAAATAAAAATGTTTAAGAGCTCTAAACCAAGAGCTTTAAATCAGTTCTAATAAGTGGGATTCATCATTGATGTAACGTTTTCGGCTTTTTTTAATTTTTTTTTTATTGTCACATAAGTAGAATTTAATTTAAAACTCTATTTTTAGAGCTCTATCACCACCTTTTTAAAAATTATCATTAATCTCGCAAACCGTGTAAAATATATATATGTATAATATATATATATATATATAAATATATTAAAATTCTTTCAAATTCAAAATATGTAAAATTTACTTTAAAAAACAGTGTTCTCCCCCTTAATAACAGCATACGTATGACAGAAAATACAAATAAAGTTATTGAAAAACTTTTTTTTAGAAAGAAAAACAATTTTTTTGGTATATTTGACGAAAAATTACCGGCAGACGGCGAGAATACATGAAACGATCTAAGTAGTTGACGGAGAGATACGCCGTTAACGGCTGGAATCCATAGTAAGCTTGCACCTGCCAAAGAATAAAAAACTGTCTGTCACCTCCATGTAACGTTAACATAACTCGCCGATACAATCAAAGAACGCATCGCCGATGATCGAACGGTTTGGAAGTCACGTTGTCGGTCTCAAATAACCAGCCGCCGCATGCTATATTGCGCCGGGTGAGTAATGATCCGGTGTCATTATCGGAATATTAAGGAAAATGTATACAGCGCCTCTGATATGCATTGCCGATGATGATCGGACGGTCTGCAAACCACGTCATTGGTCTCCACCATAACCTCCCGCCGCATACTAAAATGCGCCGGGTGAGTAACGATCCGGTGGCATCAGTGTAATAAGTCGAACTCTGAGTAAGAAGAAGATGATGAGATGAGATGAGATGAGATGAGAGAGTTGAGTATTGAATACCTTGAGAATCCAAGCAACAGATCTTGCTCGAGCCGAAGCATCCAACGGCTGAGATTGAAACCTTTCGAGATAGTCGATTCCAGGCACGTAGTTCCTCTCGTCTTCGATGAATCCGGCGATGGATTCTTCGATATCGGCCGGCGATTCGAGGTAGTAGCATTCCGGCGAGTCGTCCGATAAGATTTCGGAGGAGTCCTCGCCGCAAAGTAGGTCGTCGGAGAAGCAGTCGGAGGAGGAGGAGAACGAGACTGACATCATCGCCGATTGTTGTTCTTCATACTGTTCTCGTCATCGTCGTGGACTCGGATGAACAAGCTCGCCGGAAAGTCGTCGGAGAAGATGCCGGAATGACTACTCTAGAGTAGAGATGAGATGAGATGTTTTAGTTTGAAGTTTTGTTATCTATTTGTTCGGATATATAAATACTGACTGAGTGCTGTATAATGTTTTATTTATTTTTGTAGTATGAGATTTTGTTTGAGAATGAATTATTTTAATTAATTTTTTATAAAATAAATATTTAGAAAAGTTAAAAAAAATAATGTAATAATTTGTAGTGGTGTTTCAACTAAAACTCTATAAATGGGTTTAAGAGTATCTTCAATGGTATTTGTTATACAGTAATGATTTAGATCCCCTACAAAACATTATCTCATAATTCCTACTCACTTGTGATTGATCAAGTAAGAAAGAGAAAAAATGAAAAATAAAAAAAAATACAAGTACATCATTGGTCCACATTACTCTAAGGGTGGTGGAGGTCTCTCCAAAAGGGGATCTCAAACATTTTTCTTTGTCATAATAGCATAATTTGATAATAAATAATAGTAAGTTTTCAAATTATAGCGATGATGCTCCAATAGTGACATACTATTTTAAAAAATCTCAACTAACTTTTCTTCCAAGTTTGTAGGTATTGTTTGGATATAAATTTTTTAGTGATTTTTTTTGTTTATTTTTTATCTTTTGTGACTTTTTTTCAACTGTTTCTTAAAAAAATTATATATTTACATTACACTCTATTAGACAAATATGAAAAATAAAAAATAAATTGAAAATTTGGAAAAAAAATAAATAAATATAATTCACCTTATCAAAAAAAATACTACTATATATATATATATATATATATATATATATATATATTATTAACTATATTAAAAAATAAATAATCACTAATTACCCACCAACAATCATCCATGGCGGTGTTTGGCAACTTGGTTTTTGGGTTTTTTTTCATTACAAGACAAATGTTTTACAAATAAAAAAAAAAAAACCAAACCCAAAAAATCCAAACAATATTCCACATCAAACCCCTATAATCATTTCATTTTTTTCTCTCACAAACATCATATTCAACCACAAAAAAATACAACTATCTTCCTAAATACAAAAAAAATTCTTCAATAATATCTTATAACTAAAAAAACTTACAAAAAAACTCACTTTCTAAACACCACATTATTCACCAGCATTTATTCACACAACAACCATCCACAAATTGGGTTTCCAGATACCGGATGGTTTACCTAAAAAAAAAACAACAACCACCCACCAATATTCCTCCATCATTCACCCAGCATTCATTCATCAATAACCACTTACCCAACAACCATCTATTATTTATCCATTATTCACTTACCAACAACCGCTCACCAACAAGTATCCTTTATTCACCTACATACAATTTTTTTCGTTTAATTTATACCTGTTAAAAGAGTCGTTTCAAACTTTTCTGAATTGGAGGGAAAAAAAGAGTCGTTGCTAAAATTTGTGCATTCTAATGACAAAATAATCCAACGATTTAGCACTACCCTTTGATTTTGTCTATCCAGTGCATCTCCCAAGTTTGCTTTGTCTCTATCTATCTCTCCGTCTCTCTTCATTCCAAAACCAGTCTTTATTCTCTCTTTCTCTCTTTCACCATCTCCATTCTTCATCACTCACTCTCTGCTTCTATGTCTCATCTTCTTCATCACCACAATCACCACCACAACCACAACCACAAGAACCACCATCACCACCATAACTAACAAAACCACCACCGCACCCACGCCAATCTCTAACCCTCAAACCCAAATTTCCTTCTCGCTTCTCCAACCCTCTTCTCTTTCTATCTCTCACCTTCTTCCATCACTACAACAACCACCACAACCACAGGAGCCACTACCACCACAACCAACAGAAGCACCACCACACCCACCACCGATCTCCAATCCTCAAACCCCAAATTTCCTTCTTTCTTCTCCAACCCTCTTCTCTACACAACTCCTATCTCTCTCACCATCTTCCTCTTCGATCTCTCCCCCACCGTTCTAAACCTTTTTCTCCAGCGATCGAAACCTTAACCCTAACTAAAATGATCCTTTCTCTTCCTCTTTGATCTATCTCTCCCTCTATTCTAAACCTCTTCTCCAGTCTTAATCTCTCTCAAAAATTATCTAAACCCGAAACCCTAATGAAGACTATCCAAAACAAAGAAGATCAACCCAAAGCTGTAATGAAGATGATCCAAACATAAAGATGAAGCAGATGAAGCTAAATTCCTCTTCAAATTGCATATTTTTTATGATTATGAAATCTTGCTGAAATTCAAATTTTTTTTTTTTGAAAATTCATTAATTGAAATTGCTAAAATTAATTTATTGAAATTGTTGAAATTGATTCATTCGTATTGCTTGAAATTTTAGAAATTCAATTTTTTTTTGGCTTCAGATTAATTTATTATTGATTCTGAAATAAAAAGCTTTGGAATTTATTTATTTTTGGGTGAATTTTGCTTCTGTTTTAGAACTGTTTGTGTAACGCCCCAACCCTTCACATCTCCGATATTGTTCGCTTTGGGCCACGCTTGTGCGGATTTGTTCTTCCCAGTGGTCATCCATTCCAGAACTACTCCAACCTAAGCACGTTTAACTGAAGAGTTCTTTTACCACACAAGAAAAGGCCTCGATGTTATATAAGGGTCTAGGTTTTTACTTTTATAGCTTAGGAACTCTCCCTCCATTCCGGTTGTGGGATATAGAGACCTTACAATTGTAACGCCTCAACCCTTCACACGTCATCGTATTGTCCCGCTTTGGGCCACGCTCGCACAGGTTTGTTCTTTTCAATAACAAGAACTACTTCACGCTAAGCACGCTTAACTGGGGAGTTCTACTAGGGATTTCACCACTCGGAAAAGGCCTCGATGCTATGTAAGGGTCCACCCAGTTACCCGTGCTTAGACTAGAATAGTTCTGGGATGGGTGACCCACTGGAAAAAACAAATCTGTGCGGGCATGGCCCCAAAGCAGACAATATCAATGACATGTGAAGGGTTGGGTTATTATAAATGGTATCAGAGTCGACTAGAGTACCGAGTGTGGACTCCTGGCATCTCTAGTGCATGTAGACGGGCTTGTGAGCTGGTAGGCTACTGCACGGGGACGTGCAGCCTTAAGGGGGTGGATTGTAAGGTCCCGGTGTCCACAACGAGAATGGAGGGGAGTTCCTGGACTATAAAAGTAAAAATCTATACCCTTATATAGCATCAAGGCCTTTTCCTAGGTGGTGAGATTCCTAGCAGAACTCCCTAATTAAACGTGCTTAGGCTGGAGTAGTTCTGGGATAGGTGATCCATTGGGAAAAATAAATCTGTGCAGGCATGGCCAAAGCGGACAGTATCGATAACATGTGAAGGGTTGGGGCGTTACAGTTTGCTAGGAAGGATAATGAGAAAATGAGGGAGGAATGGAGGAAACAGTTGGTTTCGGTGACTTAGAAGTTTTGGTATTTGTCAAAGATAACAACGGTCAAAACTTACTATTGGGGTGAATTTCTATGAATTGCTGCATAATTTGACAATTGAAGCTCTAATGGCTTGCCATTGGATATGCTCTAAGGCCTCTTTTGGATAGTGGTTATAATAAGTTAATTTTTTAATTTATTTAGGCCACAATATCTTTTACTTTCTATATCTCTTTTTGTAATAAATAAAATAAAAATAGTCTATTTGACACTTCCCAAAATAACCCTAGATCATTATAGTTTAGGAGAAGTGTAATTTTAATTTGAATAATTTAAATTTTTATATTTTCAATTTTGTTGCAATATAATTCCTTTGTCATTTGTTAAAATTTGAAACAAAAAAAAAAAAAAAAAAAAATCACATGCAAAGTTAAAGAATCAATGAAATAATTTTTTTTTTTTAGCTTTATTTTGTTCCTTTATTTTGTACGTGATTTTTTCATTAAAATACATGATGAAAGAATCATATTGTAACAAAATTAAAAGTGTATAGTTCAAATTGTTCATATTAAAAATACGAGGATTAAATAAAATTTCACTCAATTAAAGGAATTATTTAGTATAATTTACATTTTTTTATCTAAAAAATGTAAAAGAAAACGTGGGATTTTATTTTCCCGGGAAAATAATATTTACATTTAGGGAGAGAAAATGCTTTCGCAGTTAAGCTATTCTAAGACGACACAAGTTAGGTAACAGCCGCTGGAGTTTGAATTAGGAAAATAATTAATATTTGTCATTGATGAATTTGTTTTTCCTCACCTCTAATAAATTTGTAACAAAATATATATTATGAGAATTTTAATATTAATATTATTGATATATAGGCCAGTACTATTCAAAACCAACCAAAATATGAATCATATATTTTGATACATTGTTTAAAATTATGGTGGACGTAAGTAAGAAATATTTTTGTAATATAATCAATTTTTATACACGCGTTATGTTTATTCTATAACTTAACATAAATGTTAAAAAAATCAAAATTTTATTCAATTATATTAAACAATTGACTAAATTTATTAAGAGATTGTATTTAAATTTTAAATTTATAATTAAAAAAGAAAACTGAAAAAGTAACACTTAATTTTTAAAAAAAATTAGGTTGGTAAACTGAGACCAACATAAATAAGAACTTATCAAAAAAAATTTTTTTAATTTTTTCCATAAGATAATGGTTAGTATGTTAAGAGTAAATTACAACGTGAATAACGTATCTATATAATATTGAATCTAAAATCTCACTCACCTTGGTATATGTGCCTCTTCACACTTTTGACAATTGCCCGGGATCAAGAAAAATTACAAAACATTAAATTCAAAATTTCATTACAGAAAAATATAAAATAGGAGAGTAGTTGATAATGATAGTTCTGTTTAGTTGAGTTATCAAATTTTTTTTTTTAAATTACAAATTAATTTGAAAAAACTAAAATAAAAGGATATTTTAAAACAATTAAAAAATTATTTCCAGTAAAAAAAATCATACAAAAACATTTCTTTTCATCAATATAATAAAATTTCACGCTAAAATTTTTGTTGCTTTCTAATTTTAGGGAAATCATTTAATAATTCTAAAATGTCACGTATACAAAAACATTTCTTTCATCAATATAATAAATTTCACGCTAAAATTTTTGTTGCTTTCTATTTAGGGAAATTATTTAATAATTTTTGAAATATCACGTAACTATACTCCATGTCAATTTACCAATTATTTAACTCTTATGTTGTTTTCTATCCCTAACATAAATTGTGAATCCCTATTGCTCTCTACCAATCAAAATCTTATAAACACACCACGTATCCATATTTTAAAAATATTGTATAAATCACCCTCTTATGAGACTATTTGGTGGTGCTGTCTGTATCCCTTATCCTAAGCTAAATTTAGCCGTTTGATTGAGATTTGTGGTGACAGTGGGGCTGCAAATGAACAGAGCCGTTCGTGAACAGGCTTGAAACTCAGTTCAGTAAGAGCTCGTTTGAATTCGGTTCGTTAATTTTTTTTTACGTTCGAGCTCAAGCTCGAACTCGTTAAATTTTTAATAACAAGCCCAACATTCTAAAAGTCGGCTCATAAGCTTGGCTCGTTTAATATTTATTATTTATATATTAAATAATATAAAATTATATATAAAAAAATAAGAGAAATATGCTATTAAATATATTTAAAAAATATAAATATAATAGTAGTAGTAGATATTATTATTTTATACAAAATATGGACTTTTTTTTAGTATGTTTATATATATTCTACATATAATGTATATCAAAGTTTTAATTGTAATTTTAGTCTCACATACAAGTATGAATTTATAAAAAAAATTTTATCTCGTTAAGGCTTGTGAACAGGCTCGAGTTCGAGTCGAACCTAAGCCAACTCGGCTCGAGCTCAGTTCGTTAAATTTTTTTTTAGCTCGAACTCGAGCTCGTTAAAATTTTGATAAACAAATCTAAACATACTAAAATTTGGTTCGCCTCGGTTCGGCTTATTTGCGGCCTTAGGTGACAGTAATACTGGATGGCCGTACACGTGTCCTCTGTATCTTTGAATATTAATTTAGTGGTGTGAACTTGTAATAGGGAATAAAGTGGGAACTATCGATCTCTCCTTCAA